TGCATGTTTATATCTGTTTTCACGAGAAGCCACTTTGAAGATATCAATATGTAATACAACCACCATTGTTAATTCCCTACCACTTTGTTTGTAGCTCTGTGTTGTCTGTATTGTGCTTGTGATATGTTGTAAAATGTTGTATGTCTGTTAATGTTTCCCTCCTTTTATCTTTAAAATAATAAAAAAAAAAAAACCCAGTGTGAAGTTTCTGTAGGTGAGGTGGCACACTCCTGTAAGACCAGGACTTTGGGAGGCTGAGGCAGGAGGATTGACATGAGTTCAAGGACAGCCTGGAGTACATAGTGTGTTCCAGGTCAGCATGGAATACATAGCCAGACCCTGGCGAAAAAAACAAAATAGAAAACCAACAACAGGGTGGGTGTGGTGGCAAACATCTGTAATCCCAACACACTTGAGAGGCTGAGGCAGGAGGATCGCTGTGAGCTCAAGCCAGCCTGGGCTACAAAGTGAGTTTTGAACTGCACAGCAAAACCCTGTTTCAAAAAGACAACAGGAGCAAGAACAACAACAGAATGTCTGGAGTGAAATACACCAAATTGTTTACACTGTTTTGGTGAAGAGAACTAGGATATATTTTTTCTTCGTCTTCTTTTTTTTTTGAGATGGTCTCATCATGTAGTCCAGGCTGGCCAATCCTTCTTGCCTAATTACAACCATATCAGGCAATTTAATTTTTTTTTTAAGTTTTTGGTATCAGGAATTGAACTCAGGACCTTGTGCTTGCCAGGCAGGCGCTTGTGCTGCTGAGCTATATCCCTGGCCCCTGGCAATTTAATTTTTAACCCAGGAGCCTGTCCCTCCCCTTTTGGTTTTGATAAATTGCGAAACTGCCCAGGCTGGGCTGTAATTTTAGATCCTCCTGCCTCAGCCTCCCAGATTCCTGGGATTACAAGGCATCACACTTGGTGACTGGAGTTAAGTTTCATATGTTTTACTTGATTTTTTTTTTTTTTTTTTTTTGGAGACAGGGTTCACTATATAGCGCAGGCTTTAAACTCGCTTATGTAGTCCAGGCTGGCCTCGACCTCACGGTGATACTCCTGCTTCAGCCTCCTGAGTACTGGGATTACAGGCACGTGCCACCACATCAGGTTTTTATTTGAAAAAAAATTTTTTTTTTTTACAAACAAAATGCATTACTTTTCTAATCATAAAATGGCAACCGAGATTTCTGAAAACCTTTCAACCTCTTCTTTACCTGCGGCGTTTGGCAGCCCCTGACAGATTCATTTCTACACCCGCTTCACTTAGTCCACTACCGGGCTGAAGATCGACACTGACTAAATGTGCAGGAGAGAAAGGGCTCTAGCAGAGTACAGGCATCCGGATCACATTTTCAGGCAAATCCAAACAGTACCAATTGTTTTCTGTCCTCTATTTATTTATAGATACTGGTGGACATAAGATGCTGTTTTTCAGCGCAGTCACGTTCCAACATGTCAAGCGCTTCCAATCTATTTTACCTGGGCCGCACAGCACCCGGCGCCAGGCTTCAAAGCCTACCCTCGCTCGCAAGGTCCAGTTACTTGACCTAAGGGCTCGCGCTTCACGCATGCGCCCTACAACCCAGCTCCCAGTAACTCCTCCCCCGCCCCGCCCCTCCCGCCCTAGGCCTGCAAGTCACTGCCTGGAGGCGGAAACAAGTGGGCGGGGCACCGTAGCCCCGCCCCGGAAGTAGGCGGAACACCGCGCCCCCTAAAGTCGCCCCGCAGTCTTCCAGTCGGATTGCGGCCGGGGCCGGTCCTGGCTTTGTAGCTCGCTCAAGATGGCGGCGCAGCCACCCAGCGGGATCCGCCTCAGCGCGGTGAGCAGCCGCGAGGGGTGGAGCAGGCCGGGTCCCCGGAGGGCGGGCGGGCGGACCAGCGAGCGGGGGCGTGGGCGATGGCGCTGCGGGCTC